TAGAGGACCTCAAAGAGCTTTTGTTTATGCAATTCGTATTCTCTTGATAGAGAAATATTTATTACTTTGTTTAAAATTAACTATTATAAAAGTATTATCTTTTAGCATCAATAAAATATTCCTGTGAAAAGTAATTATATTTTGTATCAATAAAACCAAGAATAGTGAAAAAGTGGCATTGTTTTATAGATTTGTATAGCTCACTAATGTCTGACATAGAAAACATCTATTCCTCTAATTTGTATATTCATTTAGCCCCTCATAGTGTGTTGTTTTGGTTGAAGTTGTATTATGAGACTCTAGCTTCCAATAGCTATTTAAAAAAAAAAAAAAGGCAGGCCCTCCCTGGTGGCGCAGCAGGTTAAAGCACAGCTCTAAGAAGCTTAAGCCACTTCTTAAGTTCGATCCCTGCCTGCCCCAGAGGTGACCACATGGTGCAGCAGATATCTCCTGGCCCTCCTGTTCTGCTCCCCACTCTGTCTGTGGTGAATCCTCTCACCCTCTGTATCTCTGGCCTGTACTCCGGCTCTGTATGAATAAATGTATAAATAGATCTATATAAGTAAATAAATACATTTATTTATAAATTTATAAATTAATGTATAAATAAATCTTAACAACAACAAAAAAAGCAAATGTATTTCCAGTAGCACTTTCAAGTTACTGTGGCCAGTCTTGTTTGATGCTTTACCACAACTCAGCAAAAGGTAATTTCTTAAAGATTAGTTACAGTGTAGAATCTATAGTGATAATGTACTAGTATTTCTACTGGATATTGCTTGTGCTTAGAGTATTCTTCCTTGTTCATATTATAACATACTATATATATATATATATATATATATATATATATAAAAGACATAAAACATTCTTTCATACCTTGTTATGTTGATGTCCTTTGGTCTGTTTTATCATTTGAGTGGATCTTTTACTCATGCATATTTCATAGCATCACATGTTTGTTATAGTTCAAAATGATTTTTTTAGTTTTGCAGATATTGACATTTCTTTTTAGAATATTAAAAATTGCATTCATTCATTGCTTGGTGTTTAGCTTTATTGAGTTAATTTTGGTTTACAACACTGTATATGATTCAAAAGAGCCTCTTCAGATGCATGTACACATCACAGTCCACCTTTAAAATATCCATAGTCCTCTGTAACAGTCCAATGGTCCCCTTCCATACTTTGCACTCCACCTTCATCCTCCCTCTCTGGTAGCCTTAACCTCCCAAACCCATTTCTAAGGTTTGTTATTGGTTTGATTTTGACTGATCCTTTGTTTTGTTTCTTTATATTGTACCCATAAGAAAAACCAAGCAATATTTGACATTCTCCTCAGTCACTTCATTAGCTTTTCCACCTCCAGTTCCATCCATGTTACTGTAAATGGCAAGAGTTCATCTTTTTTATAATCACTTTATTCTTCTGTGTGTGTGTATCATATATTCTTAAGCTACACTTCTATTACGGGACACTTGGGTTGTTTCCATAAGTGGGCTATTGTAAATGGTGCTTCAGTGAACACAGGAGTACATATATACCATTTAACTAATGTTTGACATTCTTTGGGTAGATACCTAGGAGTGGAATTGCTGGATCCTATGGTGGACCTATTTTTAATTTTTGAAAAACTTTACACTGTTTTTCTTAAGGGCTGAACCAGTTTATATTATTACCCAAAATGTATAAGGATTCATTTTTTTCTCCACCACAAATGTGGTGGAGAAATAAAGGTCTTCCCAAATAAGCAGAAACTGAAGGGGTTTACCAAAATAGACCTCCATGACAGGAAATGTTGCAAAGGGTACTCCTGTCTAAATTGAAGAGATTTTCATGAAATGAAAATCTGAACAAGGAAATAGAACCAGAAAACTAAACACAACATGACAAAGCAAATACTTATATATCAATAATCACCCTAAATGTAAATGGACTGAACTTATCAATCAAATGTCAGAGAATGGCTGGTTAGATCAGAAGACAAAACCCAATTTTCCACTGTCTCTAAGAGACCCATCTAAATTTCAAAGATCAAGATAGGTCAAAGTAAAAGGCTGGAAAACAATCATACAAACAAAGGGGACCACTACAACCTTCCACTCACAAAGTAAAATATCAAGTAAAATAGATTTCCATTTAAAAATGATAACAAGAGACAATGTCCTGAACTCTTAGAAGTTTCTCTACTATATGTCTTGGTGTCAACCTTCCTTTGTTTAGGTATGGTAGGTTCTTTTAGCTTCCTGGATTTGTATATTTATTCCCTTGTCTAACTTTGGCAAGTTTTCCTCCATTACTTCTTCTGAAATAATTTCTGTATCTCTCTGACTTCCCCCACTAGTATTTCCATTATTTTGTAATGCCTTTTCTCATGGAGTGAGCTAGTTCATGGAGTGTTGCCTCATTTTCTTAAAAATTTTCTTTTCTCTCCTCTGCCTGGATTCTTTGTACATTAGTAACTTCAACTACACTCACTCATTCTCCTTCACCTCTTCCACTTCTGCTGTTTTCTCCTGAGTTTTTCATCTCCTGTATTTCTCTTTTGAAATCCTGAAACTCCATTTTTATCTTACTTTGTGCTTTATTTTCTATCTTCAGTTCATTGACTTTAAAGATATTCATTTTTTTTCCTGAATTTTCTTCCATTTCTTTGAATTTCTTTATCAGTGCAATCCTAAACTCTATATTTGATAAGGAGAGCATAGCTTCCATGTCTATGAATTAGTGTTCTGGTGATTTGTGCTATCTGTTGTTTCTTCTATTTGCTTGGGGATTCATATTCTCATTTATCAGGGTTTTCCTTATGCCCATTGTTAGATTTGGAACCCAGCTGCTATATGTGGGTTTCCCTCTGGGGATGGCTCCTCTCGTTGTCTGCTCCCTTATAAGTTAGTTGTGATTATGTGAAGGAGGCAAGCCAAGCATCTTCACTCAGTCACAACCTGGCCAGATCCCCAGCTGTGCCATTGTATGTTTCTAGTTTCATTACATCATGGTCAAATAAGTAAGATAACTTGCATGATTTCAATCTTTTTAAAGTTAATTGAGACTTGGTTTATGTCCTAGCATGCAATCTATTCTGCTGTGTTTCAGGTGCACTTAAAAGAAGTGTTGTCTGCTGCTGTTGGATGGAGTCTACTAGTTTTTTCTCCCTTTTGATTCAGAATTTGTTTGGTTGCTGTAAGCCTGTGACTGTTTCCCAGAGTTCTCAATTCTGATAGTTTGTGTTCATATTTTCTAGTTTTATTCTGGCAGGTAGAGCTTAGAGAGCTATTTTTCCTACAATTTTTGATGACTCTTAGTAACTACTTTTTCAAACAGGTGTCACAATGTCCCTTTTATATCCTAAAGTAAAATATATATATAGGTAAAATAATTTCATATACATGGAAATTTTTAAAAACCAATATAATACCTTAATGATCATCTAAAGGAGAAATTAAAAAAGTGTTTTATTTTTAAAACGTGTGAATTTCAGTATATAAACTCTTGTATATAACATTGAAGGCATAATGAAGTAATGACATATTTTTACCTGTTTAAATAAGATGGATTTAAGTGATATACAAAGATCAGATTTCATTTTTTATAAATGAGTACTAAAATCTAGACATAAAAACCCAGCATTATTATGTATGTGTTACACATGGGATTAGAGAATCACTTTAACAGAAGTTGGGATAAAACATCTATATGAATTATAGGCTAAAAAATGAAGGAAAAGAGAAAGTTTTATTATTATTAATTTGTGGGACTTTATTTAATCAATATTTAGTAAGTAGTGATAATATACCAGAGAACAAATCTTTTGTTTATAGTTTATATTGTTTTTACTGTGAAATCCTAACACAGGTCATTCAGTTTAGCGTTTAGTACTTTTTCTTGGGCACAATATTCTTTCATTGATAAGGGAAATCAACGTTGGACTTTTTAAAAGCACTGATCAGATATATAGGATCAGTATCACAGGTAAGTTTAAAAAATACTAGGCAGTTGCAAAACTTTAGCTGGTAATTTTCATATTAGATTTCTCATTCATGTTCATACATAACCCACACATCACATGCAGTATTTTTAGAATGACCAAAATATCTTCATTTCATATGTTTCCATAGTTTGGTATTTGGTATTATGTCTGTTAAGGAGTGTTTATTAATTGTTGCATATTTATATTTGGCTTCAATGCTGTGTTATGGTAACAACATTATTATACACAAACATGTTCAAATAAATATACTTTTGAAATGTACAAGTAGGCAAATTAGCTTCCTTCCAGAAAAATGGATGTAATTGTCATAACTTGATGCAGAAGCTTTCTTAATTATACTATTTAAATTTATTTGACCTCCAAATAATTTTTTAGCTTAACTCTTACTATAAATGTCGACTGCCTTGTTTCTTACCTATCTCAGATGGAATAAGCACCATATATGCATATATTATACAGATATGTACATATGCATATATTATACAGATATGTACATATGCATATATTGTGTTTTGTGTATTACACGTGTGTGCATATGTATGAGCCATATAGAAAATCTTAAAAATATTTTAACTGCTCATCATTGTGGAAGACTATGGGTTCCTTAGTGGTAGGTATGTAGCAATAGCATACATGTAAGGAGGTATGGACCCATATCTCTGGATCAATCTCTACAATTAAACATTTTAACCTATAATTTCCTTGAGTTGCTACTCAATCAAAATCACTTTGTATGTAGAATTGTGACAAATGTACTTTGTCTTTTGGTTGTTGTGTGTTTTGAAAATATGGAACTAAATTCCTTGGCCATAGCACTTTCCAAATAGACATTTTCTCTTTTATATATATATAAAGTTAATTATCAGTATGTTTATATACATATATATTGATAATTAGCTGTCCTCAAATAAATTTAATCACATGATTCTTAGTTGTGGCACATACGTGAGTGTGGAAATCAGAACAAAATGTGTAATCACTTCTTGTGGCTTGTGTTTTTCATTTGCAGCCTTCAAGCAAAATAAAGCTACCTGAGGAGAATTTCTTCAATGTTCCTGCTTTCTTAACTGTCTCAGGACAACTTCACCTAGAAGTGATGTCAGGGTACAGAATTTCCTTTTCTCTTTTTATTAATTATGACTTGGATAGAGTGAAATTGTAACACTTCCTTTCCCCAAGCTCAAACCTACTACAAATTGAAATTAGCATTTACAGTTGGTCCACTTTAATTCAACCAAAAGTAAACTTACATTGACAATTTGAAAATAGTCTACTTTCTTACTAAAATGTGATCATATTAATCTAGACTTTCAATGGAAAAATATGATACCGGCAGTATGAATTTGTGTTTTGTTTTTTGTGTTTTTGCCTAAATCTCAAGATGTGCAATTAAAATTTAATCATGTTTATGAAAGTAAAGGAAGTTTGGGTTCACTGCTGAACCAAGAATAGCCCATTTCATTTTAAAAAGAGAGCTACCTGGAACCTCATATGAAAGGTGGGAAAATGGAAGGAAAAATGTCTTTAATCATTAGTTTAAATAAAGACTATTAGCCCATAATACTCTCAGGAGAGACCGATACCAAACTAAAAAGTCTTGGCATTAATTTTAGCGCCTTTGATATTAGGCTCAACTTTCCTTTTCTTTGAAACAGGGATTAGGCAAGAAGATCTTGAAAAGCTTGTGTAAGTTTTCTGTAATTCTGTGGGTAATTTCTTATGCTTACTCAAAAAGTACCAGGTCTTCTTTTTAGATCTCTGTTTTCTCATGTAGATTGAGACTTTAAAAACTCTTAGAAAATGGCTCCAGTAAGAGCAAGGGTACCCAGTGATTTTAAAATGCACACGTGGGAAAACAGACTAGGGCTTATTTATTTTTTTATATACTTTACTGGAATATTTTACATACTTATAGGAATGTCAACTGTGGAATAAAGAAGATTTTGAGAATAACATTTACTTTATTTAGGTGCCTTCCTGATTAATCTTTGGTACAGAAAGATGTTATTTGATGAGTCTTAATAATCAAATAATTGACGTTATTATCAAAATATTGGACAGAAAATTATAATGATAATAGCCCTTTGATATAGGAACGACCATGTCAGGCATTTCATGGAAAATTCCATATGCCTACGAAAGTATATTTTTAAAAATTTAAAAATTGACTCATACACATATGAACATGTATGAGATACTTTATTAAATTCATTAACTACTAGAGGACAACTAAAAGAGTAAGAAAGAACATTTAGGAGTGTATATTCATTGCTAATTCAATAAAAGAATTTCAGAATAAGGTTGCTAGGTAATTACAGACTCATTAATACCTTATTGCCCAAGAAACCCTAACCTTAGGGATTTCCTCCTTTACTGACAGAAATTATTTATAGCTAGATAAAAACTTTGTAAGTTAATATGCAAGTTCACTTACTTTGAGATATTTAAATTCAATAGTAAATAGAATAATGGGCTAAAGTATAATTCCCTATGTAATTAAGTAACCTCTGAATGGGCTTTTGTCCCTATATTGTACCAAAAGGGCATCCTGTCTTAAGTTTGGCATTTTCTTCCAGGTTTTGAATAGCCTCTCTTAATAGCATTGCAGTCTACATTTCCTTTATCTATAAAATTAGGTCAAATTATGATTCAAAAGTTTTGATATAAACATGTAAATTTACCAAATATTTGTGTTTTTTTTTTCCGTAATACCACCAATATACGTTCCTTCTTTTCCAGTGTACAATGAAACTTGACAGGGATAAAATTGGCAAAATATGAGTTTCTATATTTTTTAATATCTTATGAAGAACTTCTAATAAAGTCTGTCAAACGTTCCTAGCTTATATATGCAGTTTTAAGATTAATAATATATAACGCATTGTGTTTCAGATTACTGTGTAGTTTAATCTACAATAAGAAAATTTTCATCTTCTTTCCCTCAGGTTTATTTTTCTTTAATTTTATATTAACAGACTTTTAAAATGGAATAAATTGTAGTTAAATTTAGAAGATTAACATTTCCAAAAGGATATCTATGTTGGCTTAGTATGTTTATGACTCCATTTTTAAGTTGAATTTTTTTTGTCTTTAAATAAACTTTCTAATCTTATATTCCTCTTGCCCAGTTTTCTCCACTGTTAACATGTTACCATGGTTCATTTGTGAAAAAATAAGAACCCAATGTTAGTACATTACTGTTAGCTAAATTCTAAACTTTACTGGGATCACACCTGTTTTCTTTTTTTAACAGAAAAATTTTATTATCCACATTTTTTTTTTTCAGTAAGTATTTTCAATTCATGTAGCCTAGGCACATACATACACCCACACAGTTATAACTCCAAATTGCTTTGACAGTATTCATCATTTATATAGTATGCATCTAAAATGTCAAGATTAATATCTGTTCAGTTTAAAATGTTTTTGTCATATATAAATGGGATTAGTCATTCTCCTAATGAATTTTTTTACTTAATCTTTTCTGCCAAAGTAACATTACATTATAACATTATAAAAATTTCAAATGTGTAGCTATATCATTACAAATCAGCGTATCTATAGATACTACATTAGGTTCCTCATTGAATGTCCAGTTTTATTCGTCACCATAAAACAGGCCCCCTTTGCCTGTTTGTTCACCCCCTTCCCTTATGATAATCACTAATTGGTCTTATCTAAATTATCTAAATTTGTTTTGTTTTATGTCATTCATTCACTTAATTTGTTCTGTATTTCTACTTCACATGACTGATTTCACTAGCTTTCTGTCAATGACTTCTTTCTTTATTCAGGAACCAATTCAACATTACATTCAGATGTCATGTTTCTCCAGTCTGTTCTCGTCTATAAAAGTTTTTTAGTCTTCCCTTGTGCTTTGTGACTCATACTGTGACCCCAATCTGGATTAAGTTGATGTTTTTCAAAAGAATACACTAGAGGCAAAGTGTTTGTCTTATCATGTCTTACTCCCTTAGAGGGTGTATGGTTTCCATGTAATGACAGTAACTTTCATTATGTGGATAAAGTAGTGTTTGCCATGATTTTCCCCTGAAATTTTACAGTTTTTCCCTTTCTCTATTCTTTGAAAGTGTCTGTAGATCTAGCCCACCCACTCAGAGGTGGAAGTGATGCATTAAGATACAGGTGATAGACTCAAGCACTACCTCTGGGAGCAAGGAGTCTTCTGAATTCTTCTGTATGGAGGATTTGTTGTCTCTTCATCTTTGTTTTTGTAATCATTTATATCAGCATGGATTTGTGTGTGTGTGTTTTATAGTCTAGGTATTACTTTGTTACTTATTATTGTTGCTCAAACTGTTTTAGTTTTTAAAAAGTTGTTTTAACTATTGAGTATCCTTTCAGATTGATTCCTATATTCCTTTGGCATGCCCTGTCTTCCTTTTACATTTATGTGTGTGTGTTTTGTTTTTGTTTGTCTTTCTTTAGTACTTCCTTTTTCTTTGGTACCCCAGACTTACTTTTCCTTCTCCTTTCCTTCTGTTTCTCTCTTCTTAAAATTAATCAGTCTCTTTCTACTATTAATGAACCTACATTGACACATGATTATCATTCAAAGTATATGTGGCTTACATTCTATAGGTATACGTTCTATGTGTTCGGACAAATTTATATCAACACGTATCCATTGTTATAGTACTATGTAGAAGAGTTTCATTGTTCAGGATATCCTCTTTACTCCTCCCTCTCCCAATCCTTACAACTGCTCATCTTTTAATTGTCTACAAGGTTTTGCCTTTTCTAAAATATCATAGCAGTGGAATTATACAGTATGTAGTTTTCAGATTGGCTTATTTCATTTAATAATATACATTTAAGTTTTCTGCATGTCTTCTCATATTTTGACAGTTTATTTCTTGTTGGCACTGGATAATATTCCAGTATTTGGATGTGCTAATTGATTTATCTGTTCACCCACTAAAGGATGTCTTGATTGCTTTCTAGTTTTCATGATTATCCCAGGCTTTTTTGTTTGTTTGTTTTTTAACCCTAGGCTAAGTTTAACAATTGCTCCTAGTATCTTTCATAAGAATCTGATATTTAAAAACCAAGATTTAATCACTGGGTATCTTGCTGTTACTAGCAGATTATTGATTGCTTTCTAGTTTTCATGATTATCCCAGGCTTTTTTGTTTGTTTGTTTTTTAACCCTAGGCTAAGTTTAATAATTGCTCCTAGTATCTTTCATAAGAATCTGATATTTAAAAACCAAGATTTAATCACTGGGTATCTTGCTGTTACTAGCAGATTATTGCTTCTATGCCCTCTTATCAGAGCTAAAATTTGTTTGTTTTTTTTTAAAGATTTATTTATTTATTCATACAGAACTGGGGTACAGGCCAGAGGCTCAGGGGCGGTGAGAGGCTTCACCAGAGACAGAGTGGGGAGCAGAACAGGCAGATCGACGAAGTACACTGATGAGGGAAGCAGCGGGCGGGTCAGGAGAGGTCTGGCTCGCCATGTGGTCTCCTCCGGGGCAGGCGGCAGGCGGGAATCGAACTCATACGGAAGTGGCTTCAGATTCTCAGTGCTGTGCTTTAACCCGCTGCGCCACCAGGGAGGGCCTAAAATTTGTTTTTTAAATAAGGGAAATAAGAGAAAGCTAAGTGTTTTCGTTACATTTTACCTATACATACAGTTTATAGTGTGTTCATTCTGAAAGCTTTAGAAGTATTTTTTTTCTGTTATATATAAATGTTTTTTTTTTATTTATTACAAAGTTTATTTTTACATCATTTTGCACATTTTTTTTTTCTATCTCGATTGTAATCCCTGCGGGTTTCCCATCACCAGATCACCCCTGTGCCACCACCATAGTCCTGTGCATTTCCCTCCTTTTCCCCCCCTCCCCGTTTTTGATCCCATTCCCCACTCCACCCCCAAAGAATGTCTCTGGTATATGGTTGTTCATTATTTTTGTTATTTTCTCGCCTGGTCCATTATACTCCTGCTATGAGTGAAACCATCCGGTATTTTTCTTTCTCTTTCTGGCTTATCTCACTAAGCATGATCTTTTCCACCTCCATCCAAGTTGCTGCAAAAGACATGTGTTTCTCTTTTTTGGTTGCTGAGTAATATTCCAT